GCCTGAGGCGATGGGGCTGGAGCGGGAGCCGGGCTCGGATCCCCGCGTCCTGCCCAAGGCGCAGGGGGAGCCGCGGCGAGGTAAGAGGCCCTGGCAACCCCGCTCCTCCCTCCCCGCCTGGTCACGGCTGGAGGGCGCAGCGGGCGCCCCTGGGGCGCTCAGCTTTGGAGTTTTAGAGCCCGTTAAAATGAGAGCGGCGGCGCTTGTTTTTTCCAGCAATTGTTTTCCAGTTCTCGCTGCAGGATATCTGGCTGTGCGCGTTGGCTTTCCTTGAGATGCCCGTGGAATAGCACTGGCATCGAGCGACTTGTGAGCCGCACCCCACGCGAGTGAGTGTACATCCACCTCAGAGTCGAGTTTGGCTTCCATGAGGGCCAGAAAGATCTTGTGTGATTAGTAGTTTATCCATCACCTGCCTCAAAGTCACTGCCCCAAAGTTGTGTTCCCTCTGATTTTTATCTGGTCTATTATGTTGGCCAGGGAGTGGTGTTTCCTTTTGTTATTTGAGATAGGAATTCCGTATCCACAAGTGCTCATGTTTCTAGTTGTTCAAGTACCTTTTATATTCCACTGCTATGATCTTTTTCTTGGATAAACACGTAGATTTCACTAACACGTTTCATTTCTAGATTAGCAATGATATTTTAGGTGCTACCACACCCAACATCGATCCTTGGCACATGCAGATGGATACAACTTGTATTTTCTCTCTTCCAATTGCCTTTCTGATAGTCCTCTAGGAATGGAAAAGTGCATCTGTGCCTGAGAGCATGTCCAATTTTCCAAGAGCATCTTCTGCAACAGTAAATAAAATAATCTCCTTGTAAAGTTCCCTTTCTGCATCTAGTTTAGGTCATCCAGATTGCAAAATGACTGTATGGAATACAAGGCACTGTCAAATCAGCTCGCTGCGTTAAATACATTTTTGTTGTTCTTGTATCCATGTTTTTAAATGGATACAGTTTCCCCAGACTACTTTTTGCTACAGTTTCTTCCATTATATTGCAAGTGTAAAACACCCACTAGCAAAGCCATTTTAGCAGGTTCACCCTCCTAAGTTTTTCAGCAGCTTTTTGATTTGGTGTTTCTTTGGGAAGATTTCCATTAAATTTTCCAGACTTCTGTCTTACACATCTAGAGACAGCTAGATCAATAGATAGGTAGCCACATTTTTCAGTGATTTGTGGAGTCTTCCACAAATGTCTTCCACAAAAAAAATGAAGATGATGCAATCTTCACAAATTGGAATTACTTACTACAGGATTTGTAGAAAATGTTTTTTTCTTGAGGCATTAAGATGTTTTAACCAGATGCTTTTTAATTTTTTAACAGATACCACATTAGCTTGTCTTTTGTTTTCTAAATTTGTGATTTGTTTAAAGGGAATTGAATATCTGATCCATTGTTCTAAGATTCATAAAGTATCCTGGCACTACTTTGTTGTGTAGTTCTTTCTTAGCTGTTTCTTGAGAGGTTCTCACTAGAGATTTAAGAGTTAAAACCTGTTTAAAATCAGTGTGTTAACCTGGCAATTAAAAATCCAATTTTCTGTCCATGCATCTTGTTATTCTACACTTACAAAATGCATTCTGCTTATTGTTTTGGGTAGTGTCAGTTCAGTCCTTGATCCCTGCTTTACTTCTTTGCAAAGCCAGTCAAGCAAAGGCATCTGTGTCCCCCAAAGTGGGATTATGACCTCATTCTGATTATGACCTCATTTTGATATTTTTTGCTTTCCCTGAACTCTGCTTTTCGTGTTTGCCTCTGCCCTTTCTTCAGCACGGATTTGTTTTTCACCACTAATCTTTACAAGTCCCTTAGGATTTATATTGGTTTCTTCTGTTCCTTTTTTTTTTTTCCTCTGGGAGTAAGCATAGTCTGTGAGCTTTAATTATAGTATATTTTAAGATTCTCTAGCAGTGAATCTTAGCAGAGCCTTCCACACACAGTTCAGGCAGAAAGTGACACAGGTGCAGCACAGGAAGCCCTAAATGAGGTAGCAGAAGAATTTTAAAATTAGAATAAATGGTGCACATACAAAACAATGCTACCAGGGCAGATGATTTCCTGCTGCTGTTTGTGGCAGTGCAGCATATGTGCCAGGCATGGTGCAGAAGAATGTTTCTGTGGGTTTATGAGTACACTTTGCTATTATTAGGAAGGAGATTTTTACATTGGAGAGTTGATGGAGAGCTGAAGAGGTGCTGAACTTGGAGGAGAGGGGTTGAAGGAGTTCAGGATGTGACACAAAACACCAAGCTGGGAGGGAAAGGAGGCAGAACTTATCCAGATCCTGAAGCATATCCAGGGCTTTGGGGGTTTGCACATGTCCATTCCAGGGTAAAACACATTTATGGATAGCTACATGCCAAAAGAAAAGTCTTAACATAGGAGACATCAAAATGTTCCAAGGTAATTGCATTAAATATTTTTCCTCAATGCTGCAGGTGTCACACATTGTTTTCATCAATGACTGAGCTACAAATCTGTGTTTTACAGATGCACACAAGGATTTATTTTGGTGTTACAATTTTCCTATTCCCGGGTCATCTCTAATCTTGTTGCCAATGGCTGTTCTGTAAATAAATTCTGACTTCTTCCTCTGAAATAATTATATTGTGTCTTTTCATATATATATATATGCATTTTGTAATGAACATTTTCATACCTGTAGCTCTACTGGAGCACCTGTTCTCTAATTTCTTTCATATTTCTTCTTAATGCTTGGAACATGTTTGCAACAACCTTTTAAATCAACTGCGATCCTCTTCAGGTTCAAATGTTTCATAAAAAAATTATGCCTCCTCAAATTCTTGGAGGGGTAGACTACTAAAATTTGGAGGGTTTTTTGAAAAATAGTTAAGCAATGAGTTTATTGAGTCATTGATTTTGTCATGGTCACTCTTCTGCATGGATATTTCTCCTTCTTCATGAGCTGTTAATCATGTGAAATCAACTTCGTGTACTTATCAGGGGCTGTGTCTGTACTTACTGGAGTATTTTGCAAAAAGTAAACTAGGAAATTATGTGTAAAGTCTGAGGCAGAAAATTCCACAAGCCCATGCAGGATTTATGGAGTGCTTTGCTAGTTACAGCTCTCTTTTTAAGTGTTTTCACTGCATTTAGTTCAGCACCACACATCACACTGCCTGTTATGGTCAAGTCTGTTTTACTGGCCATGAACAATTTTTGTGTGATCAAGTACCATTTAGGATTGACTTTAAGACACTTAAGAGATAATGCCATTTTAATTGAAAAACTTGTTTCATTCCAGTGGATGGAAACTGCCATCATGTAGATGTGAAGTAATTACTGAGCTCTGAAGAGAGTGTTTGAGGCTGGCTACTCTCCTCAAGAGAAAAAAGGATAAAGAGAATGATTCTCCTAGAAGAAAATGTAATTTGAAAGATACCAGGGACACTGGGCTCTATTCTGCATAAGCTGTAGCAGGATAAAGTTTCATAAGGTAAGGGTTCAGGTTATGTGATTTTTCCAAGTTCTCTAAGCCTTTGGGGTATTGTCAGATCATGTGTTTAAAAAGTTTTGGAGAGGAGAAATAAATCTTTGCAATTCCAATATGTTCTTGCAGTTGCTTGTCTCCAGGAGCAGTGCTTTTTAACTGAGTGATTTGCTCAGTGCTGTGCATAATCCTGCAAGACTTAAGGAAAACACCCTGGCAGGATGGAGTGCCATAAAGCTGGAGAAGAACCAGAGAAAAGGTAAACAGCATTTTTAATTATTTGTGGCGTCAAATAGCAATCATATGCATTTGCCATGGGTTCTGAAGGGAAGCCCCAACAGCACTTTAGCCCAAGTTCTTTAGGCTGTATGCTCAGCTGTATTGCCACAAAAGGATCCATAACAAGAGCAAAACAAATGAAAAATATACCTTCAGCTTGCAGTAAGCTACATGAGGATGTGTTTTCATAGGGGGAACTTAACCTAACTCCATTCCAGTGCTCAAATCTTCCCTACCATGAACACCTTATTCTCATAACCTTTCTTTTAAACACACTCTAGCAGTGCTTTCCTCATGTAGTCTGTAGCAAGCAGTCACATGAAGCTTACTCATCCGATTGATCTCATTCCCACATCCTGCACAGAGCCTAAAATTTATGCATGTAAATTGAGGACATAAGAAGACATGAATGAAAGAAGGAGAAAATGGATCTTGTCTGAAAAAAGACATCACTGGCTTTTTTCTTCTTAAAAGCTCCAAGTGAAGCTTCAGAAGCAATGAGAGAGTGTTAAGTGGTGGTTCATTTTAGCTAAGTTTAAATAAAACTGCCTAGCATTTCTGGTCAAGTTTGATCTTTTTCCTCCTCCTCTCAGTTAGCTGTGGACACTTTCATAGAGCACAGCCACCTTTTTTAGACTTTTCTTCCTGTAGGTGAAGGAATAAACACAAGATATTTTGCTCTTATTCGTTGAACATTAGCCTGACCATACAATTTTTCCTGGTAGCTTTCATGGGCTACGATGTTCAGTGGAGTGGCAAAAGCACTTTCATTGAAGTCCTCTAGAATTTCACCCTGAGAAAAAGAAACATTGGTTTGCATTCTTCTCCAGACTTTTTTGATGATAATGGGCCTGGAACAAGGTCTCTGTGTTCTTGATTTTTTTTTCATTCTTTAGGAACAAGGAAAAGGGTGGGGGTTGCGTAAGTCTTGCAACTGAATATTTTTCCTCTTGGATAATCCAATTTCCAGTCCAATAATCTACTTCTGTGAAACAACAATGCAATTGAAATCCTTTCCTATTTTAGGCTATTCTGTTTTTAAAGTTAGTTGCTGGAACAGTTGAAGTATAAGAAAATTCTGTGCATGCTGTGTACATCTGACAGCTGTTTAAAATTGTGTCCTCAACTGGATGCTCTTGAAAAAATAAAGATTTTATGATGATCTTTGTTAGTGTTGCATCAGTCTTCAAGAATCCTTTCAAGTTTCCAGGTCTCATTTATTGCTTCCTCCTAGCATATAAACCAATAAGAATGGATGTCTGCAACAGAAAAAGAAAAGAGACATCTGATTCATACAGACAACTCCTGTGGTTGAATTGAACTTTCAGGGTGAAACCCAACATGAATTAAAATTAAAACAAAATAGAAGAATTTAGGGAGTATAAAATTAGGAGTAATATAGTGGCAGACATTACAAAATATAACATACAAAATATATGTTCTGTCTCATTAAAAATAAAAAATACATTAAGTTCTTCAGATAATAGAATGCAAAAAATGTTTTGTATTTTGTCCTGGGTGAGAAACTGAGCATTATTTGATTTAAAATCCATTAGCTGGATTCCTCATGCACCTCAGTCTTTACCCAAGTAAAATATAACAGGGTTAAAATACAGTATGTAAAGATTATAGTGACTTCTTAGGGAAAAAAATGTAGAAGTAAATAGGACAAAACATTTCTTTTTTTGCCTTAGACAGACCATGCCAGACTTACCTACTTTCTCTCTGTGATACAGTAACTGCTTCCTAGATAAACAAATTTGTTACACTGAAGAAAAGCGGAATGTTTAAGGTGTCAGGTGGACAAAGAAATAGCCCAGAGGAAAAGGTGGCAATATGTTACACTCAATGACAGGGAGAAGTTGTTGGAGCTCTGTCCAAAAATTGATAATGAAACTCATACTGTTGAATTTTTTCATTGGTGATCCTGGCACAAAAACTAGAACTTGCTAATGAGCTCTGTTGACATCACAAAGTGGGGAAATAGTCCCTGTAGGGTGATGTCATGCCAAACTAATTGGATGAGCTTGAGGAGCAGAGAAATCAAATGGGATAGGATATAAAGTACAAGGTCATCTGTTAGAGCCCCTCAGGGAAAGGCTCCCTGATAAAAGCTCAGAGCTTGTCAGATGGAAGATGAGAGAATTTTGAAGAAGTGGGTGTGCAAGCCAAAGACAGAGTGGATGTGAGTCACTGATTTGATGCCACTGTGGAAAATGTGAACTCAGTCACAAATAGTTTCAGCCCTGCACTTCTTGTACAGATAAAACAGTACTAATGCCATGTGTTGTACATGTAGTCAGTGACACCTTAGAATAGAAGAAATCTTAGAATCCACATGCAAGAAATTGAACTTGGAAGAGTTGTAAAAATATGTTTCAAATCCCTACTAAATGAGAGGAGTGAACATGAGACTAAAATGACTTGAATTTTTTAGTCTGGACAACTGAAGCATAAAAGACCTTCCAGTCTTTGAATATACCAGTTGAAGCAAATGTGAAGAGGAAATGAAGCATGTATTAATTAATTAATTTTAAAAATTATGATAAGAAATTAAAATGGGTATGAGCAAATTTAGATTGAAAATTAGAAGAAGTTTTTTAACTGTTGAGGTGTCTAAACATTGCTAAGAGAACATGTCTTGTGCAAGGAACACATTCTAGAACAGCACTGACTTCATCTCACAGAACCCTAGAGCTACAGGTCTGTTTTGCTGATTCCTTCCCACTGATGCTTCTCATTTCCACATTTTCCTTTCCTTCTGCCTGTTTTATAAGGCACATCTGAACGAATGATAAAGTGACATTGTTAAATATAAGGAGACTTTTCATTTTCAGCTGCGTGTAGTATCGCTTCCTTTTCAGCAACGAGCCACTAATGAAAAGGATTTGCATCACTGCAAAACCAGGATAGGAAATAGGCATTTCCATTTTAGTTCAGGTTGCTCTTTTCCTTCCTTTACGTACAACATGTTCTTATTTTTACCCTTGCCAGCAAATAGTCAAAATGTTCTCATTAAGAACTTGAGGAATGACATAGTGCTGGAATTCGCTGCCGGAATTAAGCTTTACTTGGCTCCTTGACGTACAGTAGGCCAGCCTAGGAAGAGCCTGTCATGCCTCAAATGTTTGTTTATAATCATTTGTAGTTATCTTGCATAGTCATCTTTCAGTAATCTGCAGGGTAATGACCACAGTAACTACTGTTTCAAGTTAGTATTTGCCTAGATTAACTTCTCAATCTTCTCAAAGGAAATCTTTTCAAAGGAAAGGGAAGTGGAATGATACACTCTGGACTTCTGCATGGCTGCCAGCCTTCCCACTATGGGGACTGGGTATGGTCAGCCTCCTGGCACCCAGGATCTCCTGAAGTTTTGAAACTTTAAACTTTTTCTTTTTTTTTTTTAATTTTGGAGATGACTGTCCATATGTCCTTCAGAACTCCAGAGAAATGCAGTTCTAAGTTATACCTTCCATGCAAAGCAGCCTGAGGGCATTCCTGTGCTAATGAGTACAGCCAGCTCTGAACTGGCAAAGTTCAAGCTGTTCTTTGTACAAACACCATCAAATATTTTAATCTCCATTTGCTTTTGAAAGAATAGTTGGCTCACAATACCAGGGCTTATTTTCACTCTTACAGTGATTTATAAATCCTCTGCCTCTTGCAAGTGTTATTTAACTTTGTCTCACAGTGTCTTTGTGCAGTAGGGAAGTATTGCAAATTCTGGGCCAGGTATTTTGGATGAATAGCCTGTTCTCAGGAAATCCAATTTCCATCTGAAAACAAAAGGGTTGTGAATTCATCCTGAATTTAGTTTATAGTTTTGTCCAAAAATAACAGTAAGAGAAATTATTTGGACATTTTAATAGCTAAAGTTACATCTTATTTTAAAAAATCAAATACAAATTTGTTGATACTTTTATTAGTTAGTCTGCCCATTGCAGAATGAAATCCAGCATTTCAAGTAAAATGAAAGTAGAATGTTATTCTACTTGTAATGCTTCTTGCATTCATTATACACCATAGCTAGGAATATTATGTAGGTACTCACGTAGGGCTATTTTTCACTTTCCTTTTTTTTACCATTAAATTAATTCTTTAACATGAAAAAAAAAACCCCAAAACCAAAAACAAGCAAAAAACCACACCAAAAAACCAAAACCCAAACCCCCAAACATACAATAATAAAAAGAAAGCTTTATACAGCCTGCATTAGTATTTCTATTTTATTAAAGGGAAGACTGAGGAGAAAGTTGTGTATGTTGTGTCCTAACCTGAGCTCTCTGTATAGGATCAGGAGTCTTGCCAAAGGCGTAGCTGAGGTCAGGCTTTTGTGTTCCCTGCAGTGCCCATATGTTGTGTAGGAGGTTTAAGTTAACCCTGGCTCTCTCTGGTTCCAGCTTACATTTAAATGTCCCCATTTCCATGTGGGAATTGACTTTGCTCTGACTGCTCCCCTAATTTGGGATATTTTGATGTAAATTAATGAACATCAGTACTAATGGCATATGCTAGAATTGACATGGTACTTAAATACATGGCTTTGGGGAGACAGGAAGTATTTCACAGCACTGACAAATCCTTCTTTCCCAGAATTTTGATGGTGCCCAGTAGAAGATATTTATAGAAAGAAATGGGTAAGTGTGGGGTGATCTTTCTCACACACTTCCTATGCTCCAGGTGCAGATCCCATAGTAGCCATTATCCATAACAGGCATAGTTACCACTATGAAGTTGTTTATCCTGTTTTGAAGTTATTAATAGTTTTTGACCCATAGCATCTTATAGCACCAGATTCCTCAACCAGGCATTTCTTGAAAAAATATTTATTCCGCTAATTTTAATGTTGGTTCCTTACCATTTTATTAAGAGTCAGTTTGTTCCTGTGTTATTGTTCCCTCATCATCTTTTCCATACCATTTGTGGAGACCTCTGTCATAACTTCCTTTATTTGTGTTGAGATAGTTTAATTACTGTGT